GTTTGAAAGTGGATTTTAAAAGCCTTGCCTGCAAGAACCGCCAAGAGCCTCAGCCACTAGCGCAACGGGGAAGCTAAAGCTGACAGCAGGAATCCTGGAGAGTAAGTCTGAGGGGCTTGCACAAGCTTTTTATGCCCCTGGCTTTACTAGCTTTAAAATAAGTTCCAAGGCAAGGAACAGCCTCTTTATTCTATAGCTCCTAAAAACCTGCATGCAGGTTTACTATGTACATGAGCTGTTTAGTGAGCACATTATAAGCATAAAGTAGGGCCTTTAGCTCAGCCTTCATCTATTCTACACGATACAACTCTTCCCTGTGCCAGCACCTGGCATGGGTTAATTTTGAGCCTGAGTCTAATAGGAGTGTCAAAGACTGGTCTCATTTCTACCCAGGGTGGCCTACAGGTTTCACTGGGACTGAGGATATCCAGATGTGCCAGGTTGGCCTTGAAGACAGTTTTGCAAAGGTGAACCAAGTCCAGTGTCAAAGCTGCTCATGCTCCCCTGCGTGAGTCACCAGGGCAGGGCATCCAGGTGGGACACTGGACTGGCAGGGTAACTAGAAACAGAAGGGCTAAAAGAGCTTCCTGGTATGAAAGGCATTGGCAGGTGACCCATCAGGTGCAAGCCTGGCCATCCAGAATCCAGGCTGCCATATACTGAAAGGCTCAGCTCGCCGATCTGTGTGACGGGTTGCAGGGTGACAGAGGACATTGGGACATTTTTTTTTCTTTTTAAATCTGTGGCATGTTCATACTTTCCTTCGAATTGCAAAGAGCTTCCCCATCGATTTCTGTTCACCCTACAGCTTATAAAGCAGCTCTGCCCAGCCCCTGCCTAGATAGCCTGCTTGCATACTTTGCATTAAATATAGGTTACTATTTCTTTTAGGCAGCAGATTTTTTTTCACCTTCTTAAATTGTACCAGAGCAGAAGCTCTTCCAGGATCTCATTTTCATTTTCTCTTGCTTTCTCAGTTGCTGCTAATTAATATCCAGGCTGCCTAGTCACACAGTGTGTGTTCATCTATATTCACGTGTATGAGGGAAGTGAGAAGAAAGTCCCATCGTGTGAATCTGTTAGGAGGAGCAGGCCGTAGTGCTCTGGGAGCTCTGCGGGCTTCAATCCCACTTCTCCCTGCACATAAACGGGCACTGCATAATTTTATACGTCTGCCTCCTTCCTCATTCCTCTGCACCAGCACCCTTGGAGTCTTTAGTACCTCCTCCCATTCCCAGGCCTGCGCATGGCATCCCCAAACCTGACTCCGCGTCCCAAACGCAGGTCTCAGTGGTGCTGCCTACACCTCAATGATCTCGCAAGACACATTTCTGGGGCCACCTACAAAACAGGAGGCAGGGCTGAATTAATGCAGAGGCAAACTAGGCACCTGCCTAGGGCCCTAGGTGAAGAAGGGGCCCAGTTGTGCTTATTTTACATATTAAAATTATTGAGTGAAAAAAAGCAGGGGCCCACGAGTTTGTTTGCCTAGGGCCCACTAAAGGGTTAATCCAGCCCCCACAGTCACCACCAGAGCTTGGTAGGTTTGCTTACAACTGAGTAACCAGGTCACCTTACCTGGGGCCTTGTCCTAGCTCCCTCAAGGCTGGATGCTGCCTAGTATGCTGCTTGAAGTAACGCACCCCAAGAGCTGAGTGCTCATTTTTTAGAAATTGTTTAAGTAACCAGTGCATGCTCACTTGGTTGGATTACAGGCCTTGGCCCATGAAGGCTTCAACACAGAGCTGTAAGTGCCTTTCCTCCTGCACCAGTGCTCTACGTCCCCTATGAGTGCTGTTAGGAGCGGTGACTTAGTATACCCTAAGAGCAAGAGCACCTGGGGTTCACTGACGTATGTCCCAGAGCCCTGTAAAATAGTGACTGAGTTACTATAGGACTAGCTAGATCCTGGGTCCTCTAGTAATTTCCAAATGGAAGGAGGACGTTGGGAAAAAAGGTGTGAAAAACAGTGAGAAAAACAGAATGAAGTGCCAGGAGGCTTGATTAATGCTTGCAAAGTGCTCTGAACTCATCTGGAAAAAGCGCGTCAGATGCTTGCAAAGCATCACTGCCAAGGATTCACTGCTTAATGAAAAGTTAACTTTGATTGTTTGTAATAGGCCTTGCTGCCCATTGCTGTAGCTGAATGCAGTATTACTGCAAGGGGAGGGGAGGGGTTCTTTCCCATCCCAAGATACCACTGAAATGAGAACTCTCTGATTAAAGATTTCTAATTAATAAATTATATTTTAAAGTACATTAAAAAAAAAATCCCTTGGCACTTTTCTCAGGAAAAACAATACTAAATCCAGTAAGCATCCTGGTCAACTTCCAAGTTCGGTTATTAATGCCTGCGTTAAAAATGCCTCTTTCTGTTTCAATTGTAGACAACAGGCATCACGTGTTGTTTTTTTCATTTTATGTTAATGTTAGAGCTGACAGAATTTTCTGAACAACAATAATTTTCTGTCTAAAAGGTCCTGCTTCTAAATCAACATTTTCACAAATGTCAGTGATTTCAACGCTTTTTATTTTCTGTCATTTTTATCAACAAATTGAACTGTTAGCAATATGTTAATTAATACTTTGGTTTACTGCAGAGTCCGGGTGACTATTTTCTAGGGCTGTGTGAAGCTTTGGCTCCTGATTCGATTCAGCGGAGCTTTGGCCTGATTCGGTGGCCAAATCTCTGAATCTGAATGGAACCAGAGGACCCTTTAATCTCCCCGAATCGAATAAAAACCCTCCGAATTGATTCGGAAAGATTTGGAGATTGGACATAGACACAGCTTTAAATGCTTTTTCTGCGTACCTCAAGGTGCCAGGCGGCTCATGAATGCTGCAATGGTGGGACGGATGAAGCGTCCCACAGGAGCGCGGGGGGCTCCCTAGCGTGCTCAGCAGCAGACCTGGAAGTGGACCAGAAGCACTTCTAGTCCACTTTCGGATCTGCTGGGGAGCGCAGCAGGGGGCTCCCCCACTTCCCCTCCGGTTCGGTGACTGGTGCCTCCTGGGTCTGGGATGGGCCCCTGCGGCTGATTGCTAACTTGGGGGAATGTTGGGGGGGGGCAGCGCGCTCCCTGGCAGACCCAGAAGTGGACCAGAAGTGCTTCTGGGTTCGCCACCGAGCACATGGAGCCCCCCCCCCGCACTCCTGTGGGATGCTCCATGCGCCCCAGCATCCCAGCGATCACCTGCTACCTTGAGGTATGTAGAAAAAACATTTAAAGCTGTGTCTCTGGCTGAATCACTGACTCTCCAAATCAGCATCGAAACTTCAGATTCAGATTTGGCCGAATCGAATCAAGGACAGTGATCTGAATCAAATCACTGTCCCTGATTTGGGCTGAATCTGAATCCAAATCGAATAGGGCCCGCTTCGCACACCCCTACTATTTTCCCATTTCTCATGACTTCTTGAGGGTTTTACCTAAAGAGAAAGCCCACTCGGCAGGAGTGGAAGAGTACTCATTTGAGGAGCTCACAGTCCAACCTGATCTCAGCTGTGGTGTGGTATGATGGGACTGGGGGCTGTTACACACTGCGCCACTCCACTCCAGATGTGGCTGCGTTGCAAGTGGTGGATGCCACTGCTTAGAGCTACGGCGTGCTCTTTCAGCATGTGAAACGCTGTGACAGTGTGTGATATTCACCTCCGCGGACCTGTATGTGCAGTGCTCAGCACACCGGCACGGCAGCAAGGAGGACTGTCGATCGCTCGTGACACACTGACGCTGCACTTACCACGGCACAGCAGACCGCCCAGCCAAGACACTGATTGCCATGACTCAAGAACTGGTTTGTAATCTTTAAATAAATAATCAGCTCTTCAAATTGTTGTTTTGCTTTATCCACTCAGGTGCCAGGAATAGGTGAATACACACAAAACTATACTTGCGTCACCAGCTACTTTAATAGAGGAGAGATGGCCCCGTAAGAAGGGGACAGGCCTGGGACCCAGAGGAGCCGTAGACATAGATGTGCTGTGACCTGCAACAAGTCCTGTCACCTCCTGCTGCAAGACGCATGAGGGACGTGCGCTGGTCCCGGGCTCCCCTGGCCACCCACCAGTCCTCCAGCCCCTCGGCACCAACCTGTGCTGGACGCAGAAGGAACAAACTGGCGACTCTCCGATTTCCTGCCAAGTGCCTCAGGGGCTCGGGCCAGACTCGTCCTGGGATTCAGGGGAAGGGAGAGGCCAGTCTCTACCAGTGCTCCTCCATTTTAGACTCAAGGCTGCCCCCTCAGAAAATACCAGGTCTTAGTTTTGACTTATTTTTAACTACAGGAAAATGCTACAGCAACTTCTGTTGCAAAGCACCCAGAAAGCCTACAAGGCAGGATGTTATCGGCCCTGTGGATTCCCATTGAAATCTCTGGGTTTTTCGTAAGAACGTAACAATTGCCATAAACCGGCTCTGACTATAGGTCCCTCTTGCCTGCGTCACACCCGGGCAGAGCAGACGCCACCAGGCCAAGCGACATGGGTCTGACCAGGGGGTTTCCTACTGATCCTCTCTCATTCGCAACTTTCCAGATCTGATTCAGAGGCGGGCGATGCCCCTTTACATCGGGGAGTGGTAGGGGGGCACTTGCCCCCCCGACAGGGCTGTCCCCCAGACTCGGGAGGCGCCAGTTGTCCATGCCCTTTTCCTCCAAACGCTGTCCGATCCCATTTCAAATCCACGGGGGGAGGGGGGCACCCCTGAAATGCTCTCCGCGAGACCCCCCCCCCACGCAGATGAGTCCTGCCCCACACGGGATGGGCACGAGGAGCGGAAGAGCCCAGTGGGGGAGGGTTTTTGGGCAAGGCCCCCGGGCGGTGAGGGGCGGGGCCTCTGCCCCCCCGCCCCGCCCCCCCGGCGCTTTGTTGGGCGCCGCTCTTCGAGGCAATGCGGTAGCGGGCCCCGCTATCCGGGGCATTGCGGTAGCTGCTGATGCCAGCGATGAGTCAGTGCCT